AAAAAAAAAGTGAAAAAAAAAGAAAAAAAGAGAAGAAACGTCTTTTCTATTATTTACAGGTACATCTTTTATTCTGGTTGATCTGGCTTGACTACTTCGACGAACGAAATGGAAGTTCTTGCTTTTATTTATTGTTGGTTTATATTACCGTTTCATTCTGAAATTGCATCAATTAAATTTTTGTGCTGCTGCTGATCTATTTTTATCTAAACTCACGTAATTGGATCCATTGACCTCGTTAAATCTCACTTTAACCTGTTTATTTTACGCGATTAGATTTTGACTAGTATTTGACCATTGCTTTATTATCTTACATATACCAGCAGTACTAGCTTGTTGTATATAATTTTAATCCCAAAATTTAAATTTAAAAAAAAATAGCTCAAATTTTCATTTTCGATTACTTGCACTTTTTGTTCGTTGATCTCTCTATTACATGTCATTAAGTTGCTATTAGAGTGCATGTAGTTACATATTGGTCATCTTGTCACTTCTAGCTCTAGTATTTTAAACATGAACCCCTCACAATTCGATGCACTCACCTGACAAATAGCGGCTATTCAAACTCAAATGACCGCTACTCTTGAAGAGAGTAAGGGCCTATCTGTTAGTTTGAAAAATTTTAAACACATCCCTCATTCGATTGATGTTGATAATTCTAAGGTGTCCCATAATAGACAACATCGTCGACAAGGTAATGAAAAATACTTTCGACCCGATCGTAAGGATAGGGATCAAATTCGTGAGCGAGAACGAGATAATTTGAAATTCTTACTCAATGGAATGCCCTTAAACAAGGAAATCAATTAGTTACTGAGTATATCGCGCAATTTGAGGAATTTTGAACCAAATGTCATTTACTTGAGGATGAGAGCACGACTTTGAGTAGGTTTAGCCAAGGTCTGAGAGATGATCTTAAGCGTGAGCTTTTCCTTCGAGGTATCACTACTCTTGATCACGCTTACTCTTTAACTCGAGATTATGATTTGATTATTAGTACTCCATATGAAAAGCGTGGTCATCGTCGCTCACCCATCTCATTAGCGTCGCCTCATCATAAGTCTATCATAAAACCGTCTCCGTCTATTGTTCCTCCTATTTGGAAAAATAATTGTAAAGGTCGTGATAGTTCAAGATCTTCTTTTCCATGTAGAAAGCATATTGACAATCATCCTTCGGTGTCATTGGCTCCAATTCCTCCCGTTAAGTCCCTTCTAGGACCTCCCACGTCTAATGTTCCTCCAATTTTGAAAAATAAGGGTAAAATTTTTGATAATCATCATTTGGCTTCATTGGCTCCACCTCCTCCCGTTAAGTCTCTTCTAGGACCTCCCCCTTCTAATGGTTTTCCAATCTTGGAAAATGAGGGTAAAATTTCTGAAACTCCAAGGTCTTCTTCTCACTTGTTGTGCATCAACTGTAAAGACTTTGGTCACATTTCTTCTAAATGTCCTANGTTAAATCTCACTTTAACCTACTTATTTTACGTGATTAGATTTTGACTAGTATTTGACCATTGCTTTATTATTTTACATATACAAGCAGTACTAACTTGTTGTATATAATTTTAGTCCCAAAATTTAAATTTAAAAAAAAAGCTCAAATTTTCATTTTCCATTACTTGCACTTTTTGTTCGTTGATCTCTCTATTGCATGTCATTAAGTTGCTATTACAGTACATGTAGTTACATATTGGTCATCTTGTCACTTCTAACTCTAGTACCTTAAACATGAACCCCTCACAATTCGATGCACTCACTCGACAAATAGCGGCTATTCAAACTCAAATGACCGCTACTCTTGAAGAGAGTAAGGCCCTATCTGTTAGTTTGAAAAATTTTAAACACATCCCTCATTCGATTGATTTGATAATTCTAAGGTGTCCCATAATAGACAACATCGTCGACAAGGTAATCAAAAATACTTTCGACCCGATCGTAAGGATAGGGATAGGAATAGGGATCAAATTCGTGAGCGAGAACGAGATAATTTTGAAATTCTTACTCAATGGAATGCCCTTAAACAAGAAAATCAATTAGTGACTGAGTATATCGCGCAATTTGAGGAATTTCGAACCAAATGTCATTTAATTGAGAATGAGAGCACGACTTTGAGTAGGTTTAGCCAAGGTCTAAGAGATGATCTTAAGCGCGAGCTTTTCCTTCGAGGCGTCACTACTCTTAATCACGCTTACTCTTTAGCTCGAGATTATGAGTTGATTATTAGTACTCCATATGAAAAGCGTGGTCATCGTCATTCACCCATCTTATTAGCGTCGCCTCATCATAAGTCCATCATAAAACCTTCTCCATCTAATATTTCTCCTATTTGGAAAAATAATTGTAAAGGTCGTGATAGTCCAAGATCTTCTTCTCCAGGTAGAAGGCATATTGACAATCATCCTTCGGTGTCACTGGCTCCACTTCCTCCCGCTAAGTCCCTTCTAGGACCTCCCCCGTCTGATGTTCCTCCAATTTTGAAAAATAAGGGTAACATTTTTTATAATCATCATTTGGCTTCATTGGCTCCACCTCCTTCCGTTAAGTCCCTTCTAGGACCTCCCCCTTCTAATGGTTCTTCAATCTTGGAAAATCAGGGTAGAATTTCTAAAACTCCAAGGTCTTCTTCTAACTTGTTGTGCGTTAACTGTAAAGACTTTGGTCACATTTCTTCTAAATGTCCTAATCGAACCTTAGTCATGGAAAAACGAAAGAATGTAATAGAGAAGCCGTTGGAAGATCTAGTCATGAACCTAAACTTGAAGATTTTGATGATTTGGATGATAGTGAGGACACTTCCTTAGGTGAAATCCAGACTCTTCCCAAGACTTTGGATACTATACCCCTTATCTCTGACAATTCTCAATCACATGTTATATGTCATACCCTTACCCAAGTTAAAGAGCTTGACGATGTCACCAATCACCCTTGGAAAATCCGGTTGCCTGTGGTTAATACTAAGGCAAAATTATCCACCACTGACCAACCTCAAATTGATGGTCAAAACAAAAGTACTAACCAAAATCCTGACAATTTATTACAGTCTCTAGTCCAGGAAAATCTTGAAAATTGGGACTTGATCCCTCCAATTGTTCAAATTGCATATAACGATCCTGTGAACTGGTCTTTAGGTCTAAAACCCTTTGAAGTTATTCTTGGTTGTGAACCTTTGAAACCTCTAAACCTTATTCCCATGCATCCACATGCTTGTGTGTCTATGTCAGTTGAGGTAGTTGTATCACATTTTTATAGCTTGCATATTGAGATCAATAACAATTTGAAACAAGTAAAGCATTATATAAACCTCAAGTTGATTGGCATAAACAATACTTTGAATTTAATATTGAGAATTATGTTATATTGCAAGCGTGTAATGCTGGTCTTTTTAAAATTTCAAAGCATGTTGGTCAAAATGCCTATGTCAATGACCTTTAATCACATTATGACCACCACCCTATTTTATTTGTTACGGACTTCGATGCTTACAACGGCTATTTTAGCCCCTCTGATGACTCGTTTCTACTCCCACATGAGAATTCTCACACTGAATCTTTTGCCATGTCTGCTTCAATCCCACCTATCACAGTACACAAAAATAAAATTGATGTTATTTTGGATGAACAGCTTGTGTTGACCAATAATAAAGAGATTCAATGCTTTCTTGTTCGTTGGATGGATCGACTTGATTCTGACGATACATGAAAAAATTAATCGTGACCAATTAATCTAAAATTTGCAATGAATATATGAGCTGTAACCAATAAAAGTTTTGATTCTGTGACTAGTGAATAATCTGACCTATAAAAAAAATTATTTGTAACTGAAAAATAATGTGACTTATAAATTTTTTTGATTTGTGATCGAAAAAGTTGTGATCATTAAATTGATAAGTTGTGACTAAACATTAATCTGTGACCAATTAATTTTTGGATTTGTGACCGATGAACAAATCGTGACATGCAAAATTTTTGAATTGTAATCATAAAATAATTTGTGACATTAAATTTTTGATTTGTGACCAAAAAAATAAAAAGTTAGTAATTAAATTGTTAATTTGTGATCAAATTGTATAGATCTGTGACCTAAATATATTTAATTAATAAAATAATTAATTAAATAATTAAATCAAAAAAAATTTTAATAAAAAATCTGATTTTTGAAATTTGAAACTTATTTTCTTAATTTTGAAATATGCCATACATAATCTCTTATTTATGAAATTTTCCCTAAATATAATACTAGAAAACCCATTAGTTGGTATATAGGAGACGGGAAACGAGACTTCGCAATTGCTAATTGGGTTTTTTTCCCCCTTCATTTAGTAACTTAATAATGGTAAAAACATAAACACAACTCACACACATAGACACTTTTTGCTCTTTCTCAATGGTATAAGCACAACTCTCACACACACACACACACACTCTTCAAAACATAGTATGAGCTGCACGAAGGTACACTCATACACACACTTCAAAATATACTTTTCTCCGCTCACGTAGACCTTACTTTTTTAAGTTCAAAACATACATCAAAATAGAACACACTTTTTTAAGTTCTTTAACCAGAATTTCAACTGTGGGATTTGCATTTAACTTTGAAGTAATATAGCACGTCCCATCCAAGACAGTGGATAGTTAGTATCCATGATATGTTTTATCTTCAGTATAGATTGAACAGACCGTAAAAATTCATCATTTTCTTGAGGAACTTAAAAACAATGTAATATACATAACAAATGCTTATATAGGACCAGATAATTACCTATACGGCTCTGCAATAACTTGAATACAGGACTTTGAAATGATAGTATTGCTCGACCCCAAACTCTTTGATACCAACGTGTGAGGCTTTGGTAGTATTATTGTTTCAGAAATTGAAGAGCAGCTTGATCATCATCTTCACCGACTTTAATGTAGTAGTCTAAAAACTTGCAAGAGGTAAATGTGGTCCCATAAACATAAATCCAAGAAACTTGACAATTATAGCTTCTTTTCCTTCTTTGAAAAGGTGCTGTAAGAAATTTGACAATTATAACTTTCCTTCTTTGAAAAGGTGCTGTAAGAAGCTTCAAAATTATAGCTTCTTTTCCTTCCCTAAAAAGGTGCTGTAAGAAACTTGAAAATTATAGCTTCAAGTCCAAGAAGCCCCCATATACATCAGGTTGTCATTTTTCAATTTATTTAAAATAAACTAAAAGCAGAAGATAGTACTTAAATTTGGCAGCCTTGTGGTTTCCGTGTATAGAATTTCATGAAGACCATGAAATAGGTTCCTTGTTAATTGTCTTCTCTGACATGTTTATCTTCTTACCTATGTGGACCAATTAAAGCATAAGCATATTTTAGTTTAAAAAAATGAAGACAGAATAGAACATTTGTCGGTCTTCAAATCAACTCATTCAGAATCGCCATGAGGTTTCTAGATTGGGGTTATGGGCTCAAAACGGACTTCTTATGCAAAAGTTATGCAAATTTCTTCGAATGCATGAAATAATATTGTCCGTTTCCATTCCAGATGCCACTCCATGAGTACAATGACCTATATGTGCAGGCAAAGTATTGAAAAACTTGGCAAGTTATTTTTCTACTAGTTTAATGTCCAAGTGAAGACCTACTTGAACAACCATTACAATAGCATTTATATGAATAAATCTAGTACTAGAAAAGCCCAATAGTTGGTATATAAGAGATGGGAATGGAGACTTCAGAAGTGAAATTGCTGATTAGGTACCCTTTTTCCTTCATTTAGTATCTTAATAATGGTGAAAACATAAGCACAACTCACACACATACACACGTTTTTCCCTTTCTCAATGGTATAAACACAACTTACACACACGCACTTCAAAACATAGTATGAACTGCACGAAGATACAAACATACACACACTTCAAAACATATTTTTCTTTGCTCACGAAGACCTTGCTTTTTTTAAGTTCAAAACATACTTCAAAACACAACCCACTTTTTATTAAGCTCTTTAACCAGAATTTCAGCTGTAGGATTTGCATTCAACTTTGAAGTAATATAGCACGTCCCATCCAAGATAGTGGATAGCTAGTATCCATGATATGAATTATCTACAGTATAGACAGAACAGAACGTAAAATTTCATCTTTTCCTAAGGGACTCAAAAAACAATGTAATATACAAAACACAAGCTTATACAGAACCGTATAATTACCTATACGACTCTACAATAACTTGAATACATGACTTTAAGATGAGGGTATAGCTCTACCCAAACTCTTTGATGCCAACGTGTGAGGCTTTGGTAGTATTATTCTTTTAGAAATTGAAGAGAAATTTGATCATCATCTTCATCGACTTAATGTAGCAGTCTAAAAATTTGAAAGAGGTACTTGGGGTCCCATAAACATAAATCCAAGAGACTTGACAATTATAGCTTCTTTTCCATCTCTGAAATGAGCTGTAAGAAACTTGACAGTTATAGCTTTCCTTCTCAGAAAAGGTTATGTAAGAACCTTAATGATTATAGCTTTTCTTCTCTGAAAAGTTGCTGTAAGAAACCTAACAATTATAGCTTCGAGCCCAAGACACACCCACATATATATCAAGTTGTCATTTTTCAATTGATTAAAAATAAGCTAAAAGCAGAAGACAGTCCACAAGTACTCAAATTTGGCTACCTTGTGGTTTCAGTGTATATAATTTCATGAAGACCACGAACAGGTTGCTTGTGAATGGTCGTATCTGACATGTTTATCTTCTTACCTATGAGGACCATTTAAAGCATAAGCATATTTTAGGTTAAAAAAGTGAAGACAAAATCGAACCTTTGCAAAGCTTCAAATCATCTCATTCAGAATCGTCACAAGATTTTCCAGAATGGGGTTATGGGCCCAAAACGGACACAGTATGCAAAAGTTATGCTAATTTCTTCGAATGCATAAAATAATATTGTCCGTTACCATTTCAGTTGCCACTCTATGAGTACAATGACCTATATGTGCAGCGAAAGCAATGAAAAACTAGGCAAGTTATTTTTCCTACTGGTTTAATGTCCAAGTGAAGACCTACTTGAACAACCATTAAGATAGCATTTATATGAATAAATCTAGTACCAGAAAAGCCCATTAGTCGGTATACAGGAGGCGGGAATGGAGACTTCAGAAGTGAAATTGCTAATTAGGTACTTTTTTCCTTCTTTTAGTATCTTAATAATTGCGAAAACATAAACGCAACTCACACACATATACACACTTTTTTCGCTTTCTCAATGGTATAAACGCAACTCACATACACGCACTTCAAAACATAGTATGAACTGCACGAAGATACACACATACGTACACTTCAAAACATATTTTTCTCCGCTTACGGAGACCTTACTTTTTTTAAGTTCAAAACATACTTCAAAACAAAACCCACTTTTTATGTTCTTTGAACAGAATTTTGGCTCTAGGATTTGCATTTAACTTTGAACTAATATAGCACATCTCGTCCAAGACGGTTGATAGCTAGTAGCTATGATATGAATTATCTTCTGTATAGATAGAACAGACCGTAAAAATTCATCCTTTCTTGAGGCACTCAAAAAATAAAGTAATAAATAGAACACATGCTTATACAAGACCATATAATTACCTATACAGCTATAAAATAACTTGAATACACGACTTTGAGATGAGGGTATATCTCGACCCCAAACTCTTTGATGCGAAAGTGTGAGGCTGTCAGAGTATTATTCTTTCACAAATTGAAGAGCAGTTTGATCATTGTCTTCATTTGCTTAATGCAGCAGTCTAAAAACTTGCAAGATGTACTTGTGCTCCCATAAACATAAATCCAAAAGACTTGACAATTATAGCTTATTTTACTTCTCTGAAAAGGAGTTGTAAGAACCCTGACAATTATAGTTTTCCTTATCTGAAAAGGTGCTGTAAGAAACTTGGCAATTATAGCTTCAAGTCCAAGACACACCCATATATATTAGGTTGTCATTTTTCAATTGGTTAAAAATAAGCTAAAAGCAGAAGACAGTCCACAAGTACTCAAATTTGGCAGCTTTGTGGTTTCAATGTAAATAATGTCATAAAGACCATGAAACAGGTTGCTTGTGAATGGTCTTCTCTGACATGTTTATCATGTGGACCATTTAAAGCATAAGCGTATTTTAGGTTAAAAAAGTGAAGACAAAATTGAATCTTTGTCGAGTTTCAAATCATCTCATTCAGAATCGTCCCGAGCTTTATGCCAATTTCTTCGAATGCATGAAATAATATTGTCCGTTGCCATTTCAAATGCCACTCTATGAGTACAATGACCTATATGTGTAGCCAAAGTACTAAAAAACTTGGCAAGTTATTTTTCCTACTGGTTTAATGTCCGAGTGAAGACCTACTTGAACAACCATTGCGATAGCATTTATATGAATAATTCTAGTACCAGAAAAGCCCATTAATTGGTATATAGGAGATGGGAATGGAGACTTCAGAAGTAAAATTGTTGATTAGGTACTTTTTTCTGTCATTTAATATCTTAATAATGGTGAAAATGTATACACAACTCACACACATACGCACACTTTTTCTCTTTCTCAGTGGTATAAACACAACTCACACACACACACTTCAAAATATATTATGAACTGCACGAAGATACGCACATACACACCTTTCAAAACATACTTTCTCCGCTCAGGAGACCTTACTTTTTTTAAGTTCAAAACATACTTCA